AAGAAATGGAGAATGTTCAACCATATCAACAGGTAACATATGATCAAGATCAGCGGTACTGAAGGAATAAGTCCAAGGTGCACTAAAGGTACTGGTAAAAAAAAACAATGCTCCAGGAATTGATGGACTACAATTTGAAATCTTTCAACAAACTGATGTAGCCCTGGAGGCTCTCACTCATCTATATGAAGAAATTTGGAAGGTAGGTACCTGGCCAACCGATTGAAAGAGATCCATATCTATGCCCATTCAAAAGATATGTGACCCACCAGAAGGCAGAACTCATCACACAATATCAACAATATCAGATTCAAGTAAAGTTTTACTGAAGAAAACTTTAAAAAATGGCTACAACAGTACATCAACAGGGAACTGTCAGAAACTCAAGCTGGATTCAGAAGAGGACTTGGAACAACAGATGGATCTTGACTGAAAGCCGAGAATACCAGAAAGATGTTTACTTGTACTTTATTGACTATGTAAAGCTTTTGACTGTGTGGACCATTACAAACTATGGATAACATTATGAAGAATGAGTATTCCAGAATATTTCAGTGTGCTCATGAGGAACCTGTACATAGAGGCAGTCATTTGAACAGAACAAAGGGATACTGAATGGTTTAAAATCAGGAAATGTGTGCACCAGGGTTGTATTCTTTCACCATACTTATTCAATCTGTATGCTGAGCAAATAATTTGAGAAGCTGGATTATATGAAGAACATGGCAGCAGGATTGGAGGAAGGCTTATTAACAACCTACGATATGCAGGTGATAGAACCTTACTTAAAATACTTACTGATGAAGATCAAAAACCACAGCCTTCAGTGTGGATTGCATCTCAATGTAAAGAAAACCAATACCCGCACCCACTGGAGCAATAAATAACATCATGATGACTGGAGAAAATATTGAAGTTGTCAAAGACTTCACATAATCATCACTCTTGGAAGCAGTAGTCAAATCAAAATGCCATGTTGCATTAGGCCAATCTGCTGCATAAGAGCAAAGAGGTCACTTTGAGGGCTAAAGTGTGCCTGATCCAAGTCATGGTATTTTCAATTGTCTCATATGCATGTGAAATTTGAACAATGAATAAGGAAGACAGTACACTAATCTATACACTTAAATTAAAGTGTTGGTCAAGAATATTGAAATGATTGGACTGCTAAAAGAACAAAGAACTCTGTGTTGGAAGAGGTACTGTCCGAATGCTCCTTAAAAAGAATGGTGAGACCTTGTCTCTTGTTCTTTGAACACATTGTCGAGGGATTTGTCTCTGAAAAATTATTTTTGGTAAAGTGAGGGTCTGCGAAAGAGAGGAAAACCCCAATGAGATGGACTGACAAAGTGGCTGAAACGATGGGCTCAAAGAAAACAAATCTGAGGTTAGTGCACGTCCGAACAACGTTTCGTTCTGTTGTATATACAGTTGCTCTGAGTCAGAACCAATTCGAAGGCACAATAACAACAACAAACGTTTTGTTAAAGGACTCACTGTCTTTGCTCTTTTGATTTTCACACCAGCATGTACTTTTGTAAGTGGTAGTGACTACCTGCCATCAAGTTGGTTATGACTCCTAGTGTCCCTATGTGGGTTTCGGAGACTGTAAATCTTTATGGGAGCAGAAAATCTCATCTTTCTACCACAGAGCTGCAGGCATATTTAAACTGCTGACCTATGCTACCAGAGTTAATTTTATAAGTAGTCCCTACTATAAAACCCTCTTCAATTATCCATGAATGTGCCATTTCCTGCCAGTCTCTCTGATACGGATTGCATTCATAAAACATAATTGAGTTAAGAAAAAGAAAGTGAAGGTTTATTTTCTTGAAGGACATTGAACAATCTCAAGCTACAGTTTTAAAAGTGTCCCTATGCATGGCATATTTTAATGCAGTTTGGTACACTGGCTTTAGGATGAGAAAGACCTGGATTTATATCCGGGAGTTATCTCCACCTCTCATATCCATGGAGCAGAGGGACTTTCAGACCATTCCCAAGATGACAGTGTGTGGAAGGAAACCTTGTGGCCACCCTCTGCCCTTCCTTCACCTCTCCTCAGACAGGTGGAATGAGTTGATTGCTGATACATGAGAGCAGACTAAGGAAGCATGGCAGAGGGTTTTCAGCCTGATCAGCGTTCCAGACTCATCCCTGCTCTGCCTCCTCTGGTTGTGCGCTCAGCCCAGCACAGAGCTGAGAGTGGGCATTGCTCTTCAGTGGGCTGTGAGTAGCAAGAATAGGTATAGCCTTGTTCTCACCATAGTCAAGCAGCTTTATCTGTAACAGAACTGGTGATTTGATCTTCATCCAACTGGTTCCTTGATCAATTGCTTAATTGATTTGGAAGCTGGAGAGGAGGTGTGATCAGATAACACTCTCAAACCCTAACACCTAGCTTTATGATGTTGAGCTTAAGCAGCATTCTAAGAACTAATACTTGTATATAAAGTTGGGATAATAGTATCTACTTCAATAGGCCTATTTTTAAGATTAAATAATATGTCACTTAGTATAGTATCTTTTAAAATATAATTGTTGTTGTTTTTAAGTGCCGTAGAGTCAGTTCGGACCCATAGTGACCCTGTATAGGGTTTCCAAGGAGCGACTGGTGAACTTGAACCACTGGTTTTGCAGTTTAAACAGCTTTGCAGTCTGGCACATTAACCAACAGTGCTACACCAGCGATAAAATGCCTAATCTAATCTCCAGTATGAGTATGTTGCACACTCATTGTGTTTATATAACTCCGGGCCTAAAGAATATAGTATAAACTGTTTGGCACGGCTATTTACATTTCTTCTAAGTGTATTCTCAACCCACTCTTCCCTACCTGGCACTACCATTCCCACCTTGAGCACCTCACAACCCAACTTAGCTTATACTCTCTTCTTTGCAAATGGCAGGCACTTCCATGACTCCGTTCTTTCTACAGTCTCAGGTAAATTTTTAGCACTGGGTAGGTACTCAATATAAATACTAACCAAAAAAGTGAGTTCATAGCAATTATAATTGTTTTATGCCAGAGTTGTGTTGCACACTATTATTTTAAAAATTATGAAAGGATTTATATAATTTTCAAGTTTTTTAACCATTTAAAATATCTGCATCATACAGTGGGGAAAATGATGAAAACTTCTTAGATATTATTAAACATCTAAAGGCAATGAGTTGTTAGGCCTCGGGGCTCAGGACCGTGGTCTCAGGGGACACCATGGTCAACTGGCACAACATAGTCACAAAGACAATGTTCCACATCCTACTTTGGTGAGTAGCGACTGGGAAATTAAGAGCTCAGGGATGACCATCTAAGGTGCAACTATTAGAAGAACGAAGAGTGACTAGAATTGAAGATGCTTGGAATCAATTAGTCCAGTGGACTAATGGAACATGTGAACATCAGTCTCCATGATTCTGAGACCAGAAGAACTAAATGATACCTGGCTACCACTACCAATAGCTCTGAAACGGATCACATTAGAAGGTCCTAGATGGAGTGGGAGAAAATGCTGAAAAAACTCAAAATTATTAATAATAATAAAGACCAGGCCTACTGGTCAGAAAGAGACTCGAGGAATCTGAGACAACTGTCCTCGACCACTCTTCAGGTCTGGAAAGGAATTCACCATTGTAGCCCACCGTTCAGCCAAGCAGTTGTTGTTAAATGCCGTCGAGTCGGTTCTGACTCATAGCCACCCTGTATAGGATTTCCGAGTGACTGATGAGTTTGAACTGTTGACATTGTGGTTCGAACTGACCTTGCAGTCCAATGTATTCGGGGACAACAACACTAGTAAAGTATGCTCACCACGGAATGGTCAAGCATTCAAAATCAAAAAGGCAACATTGACTTTTGTGAAGGGATGGGAACGGGGATAGATGGGAAACAGGAACCACCGGGAGGAAGTGGGATAACCGGTGTTGCATGGAGGGGATTGCAATCATTGAGATGAAACAAAGTGTAGGATTTGTGGAACGTAAAACTGATGATCTTGTCTGTAAACCTCCACTCAATTCATGATAAGAAGTTTTTAAAAAAATTAAATATCTGCATTAACCTCACAGAATATACTATATTGAGTGTATTCAGTGACTTGTATTAATAACCCAGAGAAGACATACACCACGTTGGGGTTGGACCAGATGGTGAGCACTTGGTCTCTACCTCTCTGGAACATCACTAGCTTCTTAGAGCTTTTTAATTTTCCTATAAAACCACAAGAAGGGAGGGAGAAGTTTATACATTTAGTAACATTTATTTATGCATTCAGTATCAAGTACATAAGTGCAAATATCCAGAGTCCATGATTAAGTCCATTCGGAACTACAGAGAAAGTAATACAAATCGTAATAAAGTTAACATGCTGGTACTCTTTTCGTTACCATACATGTAAATCAGCCTGTCAATCCCATACAACAAAAGTACTGTGTGTTTGGGGTTTGTTCATTTATTCAATTATTTATTGAAGTCATACAAAACTGATTACCATGAGTCCGGTCAACTGTTATTACTTTTACATTGTGTGTGTTGGAAAAACACTAAAACATCAGTCTACAAGTCTATATATATATTGTTATTAAAGATTAATCCAACCAGCAACCCAGAGACATATAAGCAATTTTCAGTATTGTATCAGTGCGTTCAGGAAAGGCCTAGCCACAGGGAACGTTAGAAGCTACAGAAACATTGCAGAGAGAAGAGAAGAACACCAAAGAAGGAAAGATTACATGGGCTCTCATCATCATGCACTTTTTTTTTTTTTTTAGCAACACGAAATAAAAACCACATCTAATACACTTTTCTCTATACTTTAGTGCTTGACACAAATGACTCAAATATCCTAAGAGTACAGAAACAGCCTAAAAACAGCTGTTTTAGAGTTTGTCTCAAGATTATGGTACTGGGGGAAAAAACGATCAATTTGCAGTATCATGTGAGACCAGAGTTGTTACCACTCCAGACACTCTTTGTGTCCTATCACTGGTGGGATGTCAATTTACTCAGCGTGCCTTTTAGCGCCTGGGATTTTAGCCTGGATCCTGAAAAGACATAATATCAAAAGACAGTAATTAATGAAATCATTTTATGTGCTCATTATTTGTTGTGGCTTTAACTAGCCAAGAACCAAACAGCTTCATTTTTCAGAAGGTTTTACCGTCTTCAATATGAGTGTCTACATATCTTTCCCATAAAATAGTAAGAAAAAAAGTATCATAAAGAATAATGGGAATGGCTGATGTAAGATGATGACTTTTTAGTCAGACTGGCCTGTTGATTTATTTCAGGAATGATGATATAGTTAGAGTGACCAATAACTAACCAAACTGAGGCTCTTCTAAAACAGAAAGAAGGTACTGCTACTAATTATACCAGGACTTGGGCATAAATAGGGACGTCTCCAGGTAAAGGTAGTTTAACACTTGATAGCATGAAGCTACCCAGAACTGGAATTAAGAAGCCCGATTCCTAGTCCCTGCTCTGCTACTAGTGAGCTGTGTGACAGGAAGCCAGTCCCTGAGTGTTTCCAGTCTTTGAATACTCATCTCTATAATGTGGGTATAGACTCGGTATCTAGAAGGCCTCTAACATTCTGTAATTCCCGCACTATAACACTATTTTTTTAGGTCAGGTTTACATCAGATGAATTTGGCTTTGTTAACTGAAGTTTTATGAGATGATCATGCCAATTTTGATTGAGACATTATACTAATACTCTGTGTCTGGTACTCTTCCAGGTGCTGAAACTCAGCGGTCAACAAACAAGAGAAGGTGGCTGCTTTTGCAGGCTTTCATTCTAGTAGAGGTTAAGTAGCCAGAATAATTAGACAAACAAGAGAAGTTTAGATGGCGATGTTGTTGTAAAGTGCCGTTGAGTCGGTTCCGACCCATAGCGACCCTGCATAGGGTTTCCAAGGAGCAGGTGGTGAGCTTGAGCCTTTCGGTTCTGACTTTGCAGTCCAGCATATTAACCCACAGCGCCACACCAGGACTCCTTGTTGTTGTTAAGTACCGTGGAGTCGGTTCCGACTCACGGTGACCCTGCACAGGGTTTCCGAGGCTGAAAATCTTTACTAGAGCAGAAAGCCTCATCTTTCTTCCGTGGAACAGCTGGTAGTTTTGAATTGCTGAACTTGAGGTTTGCAGCCCGATTCGTAACCACTACGCTACCAGAGCTCCTTGTTGTTGTTATGTGCCATGGAGTCAGTTCTGACTCATAGCGATCCTGCACAGGGGGTCCGAGGCTGAAGATCTTTACTAGAGCAGAAAGCCTCATCTTTCTCCGGTGGAACAGCTGGTAGTTTTGAACTGCTGACCTTGAGGTTCGCAGCCCGATTCATAACCACTGCGCTACCAGAGCTCCATTGTCTTGTCAGGTGCCATCGAGTCGGAACCGACTCATAGCGACCCCATGCACAACAGAACGAAACAATGTCCGATCCTGGGCCAACCTCACTACCACCACCACACTTGATGCCATCAATGATGTCACCTGGCTGATCCATCTCGTTGGGGGTCTTCCTCATTTTCTCTGACCCTCCACCTTACTCCATTAGATGGTGATAAATACTATGAAACAAAACAGAACAAGTACTCTACTAGGCAGAGACAGAGCAACAATGACAAGGTGGAATGGTGTTGATTTTAAATGCACTGATCTGAGACACGGATGCCTGAAGAACAGAAAAGGGTCACCAGGCAAAGTCCGGGGCATGAAACGTTTTGGGTAGAGGAAGTAGAGAGGGCAAAGACCCTAAAATGAGGACTAACTTGAGAGTGAAGGGTGTTTTAGTAACTGAATTTGGAGTGTGGAGAGTGGAGGTCTGAGAGGCAGGCAGTAACCAGATGGTGTCAGAATTTGTGGGCTATGATGAGGCGCTGAGATTCAATTCAGTGGGATGGGATGCCATTGATGGGTTTTAGACTGAGGGAATGACATGAACTGATGATTCCTGTTTCAAGCGAATCACTCTGGCTGCTGTGTGAGCAAAGACATAAATAGGGAAATCGGGATGAAAGGAAATTTGCAGCAGTCCAGGGGTCAGAAAGCAATGGTCTGGATTATATGGTGGACACAGAAATGGAGATGTCAACAGTCTGGGGATCTCTTTTGGTGATGGAGCTGACAGATCCCCTGACATGCTGATAGACTGAATGTCCGAGCAAATGGTAGGGAGCAGAGTAATCATGGAACATTCTTCTGTTTGGGGGGTGGGTAGCCATTTACTGAGATGGTGATGACTGAAGGAAAAACAAGTCTGGTTGAATCTGAAATGTCTATTTTCTCAGAGAGAAAATATCACATACATAAGTGGATAGACGTGGTGCTCAGTAGAGGAGATTTGGGATGGAGACACACATTTCAGAGCCACAGAAGTAGAGATGATGGTTTCTGAGCTGGTTGAGAGGTGGGATAGAGGAAAAGGGGCTGGAGAGGACATGGAGGCTCTGGCAGTAGAATGACAGTCAAAAGGAGTATTTATTAGAAGGCAGCATGATCAGGATGAGGGCTCTGAGAGGTCAAGTGCAAATCAGTGGCTGTAACAATGGGTTCTGGCTCATACCAAACCCTTGTACAACAGAATAAAACACTGCCCAATCCTATGCCATCCTCACAATTATTTATTTGAGCCCACTGCAGCAGTCACTGTGTTACTCTATCTCGCTGAGGATCTTCTACTTCACTGACCCTTCTACTTTTCTAAGTCCTTCTCCAGGGACTGGTTCCACTTGATAGCAGGTCCAGAGGATGTGAGATGAAACCTTGGCCATTCTTGCTTCTAAGGAGCATTCTGACTATACTTCTTTCAAGACGGATTCATTTGTTCTTATGGTAGTCCATGGCATATTCATTATTTCTTACCAACATCATATTTTAAAGCATCAATTCTTTGGTCTTCCTTATTTATTGTTCAGCTTTCTCATGGATGAGGTGATTGAAAATAGCGTAGCTTGGGTCAGGCACATGTTAGTCCTCAGAGTGATAGCCTTGCTTTTTAACATTTTAAACTGTCTTTTGCAGCAGATTTGCCTCATGCAATATGTAATTTGATCTCTTGACTCTGCTTGCAAGGGTTTGCAGACCTAAATAAAAGGAAATCATTCACAACTTTGATTTTTCTCCATTTATCATGATGTTGCTTGTTGTTCCAGTGTGAGAATTTTTTATTTCTTTATGTTGAAGTGTAATCAATTCAAACTCAAGGTAATATGTAAGTGCTTTATCAGTAAATGCTTCAAGTCTTCTTCACTTTTGGCAAGAAATGGTGTGTCTTTTAGATGTCACAGGTTGTTTATGAGTCTTCCTCCAATCCTGATGCTGCATTATTCTTCATATAGTCCAGTTCCTTGGATTATTGCTCAACATTGAATAAGTATGGTGAAAGGGCACAACACCTTCCCTGATTCCAGATCATAAAATATACCGTGTTCAGTTTGATCTATGTTCATACAGGCTCCCATGAGCACAATTGTCATCCCACAACTCGCCTAGTTTTTGGTCATTAGTGTTCAATGTGTCAAATCTATTTTTGAAATGGTCTCTAAATTCAGGTGGGATGCACTCAAGATTGTACTTTGGCTCTCATGGACTTGCTTTAATTTTCTTCAGATTCAACTTGAACTTATAAATGAGCAATTGCTAGCCTGTTCTGCAGTTGGCCTAGCTTGTTCTCGCTGATGATACTTGTTGCAGACCGTGTAAGACTAGTCAGAGGTTCGAGGCCCTCTGGGGCCGAGTGTAACAAATGAGGCCACTGGCAGTTAATGGCAAATTGCTTTCATATTAATATTCA